ATTTTTGAGATATGAATTATAGATTCTCAAATGGGTCTTTGGTATAATTTTTTTAATTTTTTCTTTAAAGCTAGGAACGCTACTTATATTCTCTTATCACTTGGTCACAAGATGATTGTGAGATACTGTAATAATTGAAATGACAAGGAAAGCGGTTTGAAAAACTACCCTCCCCGGGTTATTGACATTTGAGGGTTATTAAAAAAATTATCTCCTTTCACGATATCTAGGCTCAAATGAGGTGACTAGGGATATCTTCTTAGTGTTTGGTAATTACAAAGAATGCCTTGTGTCATTAGAAAAATTTGTCTGAAAATGTACATCATTTTATGTTTTATAATTGCATCATTTTCCATTTTATTTGAATAAAATATCTCATAGTAATGCACGAATTAATTTTGTCGTGTTTTGGTAAGTATGGTTAGTGGGGGTTAATATGGTTGGTAGGGTGAGGTGTGAGATTCTGAAATTTGCATGATCAATGCCACTAGTATGTCCTTGTTAAAAATATATGCACAAATAAATATTAGCTCACGAAATATGAATAAGTGCATCAAAGATTAACGTTGACTGGGTTCCTCTAGTGAAGAGGTTTTCAAACCGGCCTTGAGTTGGGCTAGGACAGGAGAAAGTGTCTCATCTTTTATAACCGATTTAGCTCATTTGACATCGATTATAAAACTGGGAATTCTCCATATTTATTGGATTCTTCATCTTCAATCATGATTCATTTCAGTCGAGTCCAACAATAGTGTTCTTACAATCAATTGAGTGTCCCTAGAAATATGATCATGAGATGCATGTAGAAAATTTTGATGTTTATTGATGCATGATATGCATGAAGTGAACATTTTTATGTATTATTTTTATTATGTTACATTGAATGGTATTCAACTTATAACTAAAAAATGATGCATGAGATGCGAGTAATGTTAATACTATGCATTTGATTTATGTTGGGATGTATGAATGATGCGAGAATGCAAATTTGTATATATGATGCATGAAAATACGATGGATGCAACTAAGGAATGCATGAGATTTTTTTTTTAGTGATTTGGGACTCTCGGAAAATGCAACTTATGATGTGTATGACATTGAATGCATGAAGACTATGATATATTAGAAGATATAAGATGTTTTTTGTTTTGTTTTTTATGATAACGAATAAGGAATCAATGAATGATAATGCATGAAGTGTAATCTTTGAATGAATAAATTATTCTTTGGGATGAGAGTGCAAGAGTGAATTGGTGTATGTATGTTTATTTTTAAGTGCACATGAATGTATATTGATTTTTATTTTTGAATGCATGAATATATGAATAATGTAATGGATGAATGAGAGAATAAATGTTTGAATGATTTATATGCATGAGTGGATGAATGCTTGAATTGTATTTTTCATGTATGAGTGAATGAATGAATCTATAAATAAGTGGAAGAATGATATGTATAATGTATTTTTTTTTTTAAATGCATGTGTGCATACATGAATATATATAAATGAGTAGAAGGGTGTTTGAATAATGTATTGCATGCACATTGGATGAATAAGTTGATATATGTATGAATGATGTATGTTGGATGTGTTTTCAAATTTTCTCTTTGAATGTCTGAATGAATGCGTAAGTCAATCAGTGAATTTTTTTTTTAATGCATGAATGAATGCATAAGCCAATTAATGTAGATTTTTATTTTCAATGCAATGAGTGGATGCATAAGTCAATCAATAGATAAATTTCTTTTTGAATGCATGAATGAATGTTTAAGTCAATCAATGAAGATTTTTATTTCGAATGCAATGAATAAATGCATAAGTCATCAATAAAAATTTTATTATTGAATGCATAAATGAATGGATAATTGAATTAATGAGTGAATAAATGCATAAGCTCACTAATGAAGATTTTTAGTTTTAAATGCAATGAATGAATGCATAAGTCAATCAATGAAGATTTTTATTTTGAATGTAATGGATGAATGAATGTTTGGGTATGTATTTTTTGTTTTTGAGTTAATGCATTCATAGATGTAATGTGTGGAAATGCAAAATGCAAAATGCAAGCCCCTTAAGGTAATAGACCCTATCTCAACCATCATTATGATTAATATGTAACTTTATAAAAGATTATTTTTTTCTTATCATTCAGGCTGAAATAGGGCAAAGATTGATTGCCCTATTTTTTAGCGGTAATCCCTTTTTAGGTGATAGGAACTCCCCTCAAGGTTTACTACACAAAAGTCTATGTTGCAAGATGAGATTCTCACACCATTTATGACATATGTTTTTTTATTTTAGGACAAGAGTCCGAAGTTATGCATGGTACGGTATGATACATGTTTCTCAAAGTTCGTAATGGGTACACCTATAAGGGTTTTTGCAATATCTAAGGAACAACATCCTATGGTAGAGTTCTAAGGTAAAGTGTATACCTAAGCAAGCCTTAGACTTCCTATAAGGTGCCCATATTGCATCTCTTCAAAGAAGAAAAACCCAAATATTATGGGGGTTAGAAACAAGAGCCAAGCTTAAGTCTCTAACTCAAAATACTTGGTAACAATATGAGTGGTCCACATCACCAACACCAGAAATGACAAAGGCCATGACCAGCGAGGCTAGTGTCCCTGCTATCCAAAAATATATCACCAATACCCCGGGTATAGGGCATATGTGTGTGCCAAAACTTGTGTACTATATTCTTAAGGAAATAAATATGTAACTTCACCACAACACATATCACAAGGTAAAATAAACCAATATACAATTATTTAATAACAATAAACAATCAATATGTTTTTTTTGCAATAAATTTAAATAACTAAATAATTAACAGTATAATTAGTCATATAGTATAGTGGTTATGGGCCAGATTCTCTAAAAAACTCTCCAGCAGAGTCGCCAGCTGTCGCGCCCCCGATTTTCGGCTGCACAACTTTGTTAGAGTCGCCACTACATTTTATGGTAAAAATATGTAGAAAAATCTTTTACCCTCAATTACATTGGGTTTTGGATTTTTGATATCCAGGTTTCAGAAGTCGGTTACGGATTAGGAAATGTATTAGCACCCCATCTGCCCGCTTTAAGCGGTACCCTTCACTAAATTATATGGCTTATATTATACTTTAATTATTTGGTTATTTATTAATTATTTCTATGGACATATTTTATTTATTTTTTGTTGTGCCTGACAAGATGAGATCTTGATCCTACGTATCCCTATTAAAGGAATCAAGGCTACGTAGTTCTTTAATTTTAAAAAAATGATTGTTGGTTGTATATTAATTAGGAAAGAAGCGGCGTGGCGCAACCGTCCAAAGAATGCGTCAGGAAAAGAAGCTCTAAGGAGCAACCATTCCTACATCCTTGATATTTTTTGATTATCATTATTTTGTAAAAAATATATTGGTTTTAATATTTATTAATGAAATTGATTTTTATTAAAATGTGTATTTGTTATCAATTTTGGGAATTAATCGAATGAAGAGAAGCAGCCTAGTGCGACCATTCGAAAATGATTTGAGGACGAGAAGCGTTTCCGCGACCCTCCTCCATCTTTGATTAACCCAAAATAGTGAAGAAATGATGTTGATATTAAAGTATGAAATCATATTTACTAAATCCTATTATTAGCATTATAATATTAAACAACAATTTAATAATAATAATTTTAAACAGACCATTATTCCCACAGAGCGTTATTCCCTTGTTCAAACAGTATACGATTGCTTTGTTACATATGCATATATGATATACGTGATTAGTATATTAAATGATAAAAGCTATTGTTGAATGATTCTTTTGGCAATAAAGTGCAAAGGCATATGGAGTAAGTTGATACCTGTGGAATCCTAAATATTGAGATATGCTAATATGCTAGTTCTGGAATAACATACACAAGCTAGTACGCTAAGCTAATGCACACAAGTTGGTGCTGTGTTGCGCGGGACTGATGACACGCTAACTTGGAGTTGTGAGCCTTTTGAGGTTTGCTCTTATTGAAGATCCCTATAAACCTTCACTTCTGCCTAGTCCATGCACAAAGACTTTCTCCCATGTCTTATAATCCCAACGGCTTCATGGCCAAGTGTACACGTGAGGAAACTTCTCCAGATCATTCTTGCTTCAAGTATAAGCGTCATTATGGCATAGAGTAGTGTAGAAGATTTCAACACTGACTTTGTTGGCTTGCCAAGGACGCACCTGAACGTATTAGGTTGAATATTCCCCAGGGGTTGTTGGTGCTACGATGGTATTTATGAATGTGTAGTTATGGATGGGAGGTATGTGTGTGAAAGTTATGAAATGGAGGATTTTGGGATTAAGTGAGTTGTGGGAGGTTGAAGAAGAAGGATGGCATACTTCCTCATCTTCTCTCATTTTTTCCTGTTTTATCTATTCCTCCTCTCTCTCCCCATTAATCTCCCCCCTTTTGTGTGTATGACTAACCAGTTATTTAAAGAAACTTTGGAGAAACTGCATCCTCCTAAATAATAGGGGAACTGCCCGACTTACTCAAAGAATTAGTCATGGGAATGACTTGTCCTCAAAAAAAGAAAGCCAACAAACGGCACTGCTTTATGTAAATGAGAATCATGTGGCCCCCCCTTACAAACACGTTATGGTATGATGAATAATGCTCATATGTTTGAGAGGTTATTGTTAAGAGGGGATAGTGGAGTTTTGGGATTTAGAGATTATGTGGGTATTTTGGGATACCTAAATAAATTGTCATTTTCGATAGAAAATACCCAAAGCATTTATATTATTTATCAATCATTTCTTTTGAAAAAAATATTTTGGCCGGACAAAATTGGGTGTTCACAACCCTTAAAAATTATTTGATTAAAACTCTATTACTAAAACAAAATATTTTTATTTTTATTGTTGTGCCTAACAAGAGTTCAACTTGCTCCTACGTATCCCTAGGTGCAATAGGGAAATCAATGCTACGTAGTTCTAGTTCGAAAATTAATTAAATTGGTTTGGGTAGTTTTAAAATATGTTGAAGTAGTTAAGTCATACAATATGATTTTTTCTAAATACTTTTGATAATGCTACGTATCCCTCCATCGCGCTTGGTTGAAAAGCCAGTGGCGCGAAGCTACCGTGCGTTGGATTATGACTGAACGCCTCTAAGTCAGAATCCGGGCTAGAAGCGATGCGTGTGCCCGTCGCCCGTTTGCCGACCAGCAGTAGGGGGCCTCGGCCCCCAAGAGGCACGTGCCGTTGGTGATCCCCGCGGGGTGGACGATCCTCGCGGGACGCCTTGAAGCGCTATTCCCCACTGGGCGGCGGGTAGAATCCTTTGCAGACGACTTAAATACGCGACGTGGTATTGTAAGTGGCAGAGTGGCCTTGCTGCCACGATCCACTGAGATTCAGCCCTTGTCGCTTAGATTCGTCCCTCCCATCTCAAACACTTTCCCGAGCTTGCTCGTACAACCCAGGAGGGTTACATCCCGCACCTCGCATGGGCGACGAGGCGAGCAGGTGCAAAGTCAGTGTTCCTTAAGCCCAAGGTAGAGACAAAGTCACTTACAATGTGGTGTGCGGCATCGCCTCTGGCCATGCCCCCATGGCGCGCTAGCATGGTGCCCTGTGTGTGGGTCATGGAGTCCGGTGGTTGGGTGCTTTGTGCATGGGGTGTGGTTCCTCGTGCGTGATCCCGAGTGCTAGGTGAAAGTGCGGGAATGACAAACGTGCTCGGTGGAAGTGAGGACAGTACACGTGCTCGGTGACATTGAGGACATGACACATGTGTCCGAGTGCTAGGTGAAATTGAGGTCGTGACACACTTTCCTAATGCTAGCTGAAAGAGAGGCCATGATTGGACTTGCACGAGTGCCATTAGGGGTAATTGATGCCATGCGAAATGTGTCCCGAGTGGTCCTAGGTGAAATTGACCCAAGCCATGGCACATGTGTCCCGAGCGGTCCTAGGTGAAAGTGGCCCATGGGCATGTCCCGTGCCTCGTGTGAGTTTTTTTGCTTCACCTTGCATTCCCTATTTCGGTGAAAGCATGGTAAGGCGCCGACCCCTTAATCAAATGCCACCAAATTTGGAGGCCAACTTCGAATTGTTTAGCCATGGTTGCCTACAAAAGAAGAGCTCCAGAAACATGTCCACATCCATTTTCCAATTTTCTGGAATTATAAAATGCTCGCCGGCTAGAAAAATCATGAAATAATATCGGCTTGGAGAAAATCCTGAAACTTTGTGGACCACTATGTCCCATTTTTATAAGCACTTGTGCAAAAAATCAGGTCAAAATTCGACCCGTAGCCTCAGAAAAACCGAGTATGTCTCCCCAGAAAAAAGGATGTCCGGTGCTGGAGAGTGGGTTTTTGCATACTAGCCTACTATAGGGGGGAGCTGCCTGCCTGCCCACGCACCTTGGTGGGTTAGGATGGCGTGCCATGGGGCTCCCTCCCAGCGCACCAGCAAGCTTTCCCAAGCATGCTGGTGCGTTTTTCAATGGTGATGTGGGAAATTCGACCGAGTCAAAAATATTCCACGCCGAATCCAGGTCGTACGTGGGCCGGTGCTGGCTGGTCCAACGGAAAAATGTGGGCATCTCGTAGTGAGCATATCCGGCACCATGACACATTTGGCGTGCAGCAAGTTCTTTGCTTGTTCCTCAAGGTCCAAGTCAAAAATCTTGATGCCTTCGTCCCTTTGGTCGAGGTGCCGGTCTGGCATCACAGTGGGTAGTTGCGGTCATCCCTCGGACGTGCCGAGGCATCCAGTGTGACCCGTTCCGCACGGAAGGTTTGTGGCGCTAGGTGAAGCCTTCACGGGCATATCCTTAGCACGAAGGGGGCAAGTTCCCAATCATCCGGAAGTGCACTATGGGCGGTTCATCATGGTCGAAGCCAAGGCGCGGCCGTGTTTGACGCGATCAGCAACGTCTCTCCAGTCGCCTCGTCCCTCGGAAAAGTGTGCTCTGTTGAGGTGCTACCGGCCTGGCCTCACAGTGCCGAGATGGGTAGTTGTGCGCATCCCTCGGACGCGCCGAGGCTTCTAGTGTGACCCGTTCGGCACGGAAGGATGTGGGTCTACGCGTTCCCTTCAGTGGCATATCCGTAGCACTGAGGGGCAAGTTCCCAAACATCCGGAAGTGCACTCTGGGCGGTTCAACACGGTCGAAGCCAGGCCATGGTTGAAGCAATCAGCAACGTCTCTCCAGTCGCCTCGTCCCTCGGAAAAGTGTCTCTGTTGAGGTGCCGGCCTGGCCTCACAGTGCGGAGATGGGTGGTTGTGCGCATCCCTTGGACGCGCCGATGCTTCTAGTGTGACCCGTTCGGCACGGAAGGATGTGGGTTCTACGCGTTCCCTTCAGTGGCATATCCGTAGCACTGAGGGGCAAGTTCCCAAACATCCGGAAGTGCACTCTGGGCGGTTCAACACGGTCGAAGCCGAGGCAAGGCCATGGTTGAAGCAATCAGCAACGTCTCTCCAGTCGCCTCGTCCCTCGGAAATGTGTGCTCTGTTGAGGGTGCCGGCCTGGCCTCACAGTGCCGAGATGGGTAGGTTGTGGGCATCCCTCGGACGTGCCGAGGCTTCTCGTGTGACCCGTTCTGCACGGAAGGATGTGGCGCTAGGTGTTGCTCTAATGGGCATGGCCGTAGCACGAAGGGGCAAGTTTCCAAGCATCCGGAAGTGCACTTTTGGGCGGTTGAACATGGTTGAGGCCATGGCGCGGTTGTGGTTGAGGCCATCAGCAACGTGTCCCCTGTTGCCTGTCCCTCGGAAAAGTGTGCGCTGTTGAGGTGCCTGCCTGGCCTCACAGTGCCGAGATGGGTTGTTGCGGATACCTCGGAATTGTCGTGTGTTCATGTGTGGCCTGATCTGCACGGATGGTTTTGGTGCTCGGTGACCCTTCATGGTAATATATTCAGGCACGAAGGGTCAAGTTCCCAAGCATCCGGAAGTGCACCCTGGGCGGTTCAACACGGTTGGAGCCATGGGGCGGTCGTGGTCGAATCAATCAACAATGTTTCTCCTGTCGCCTTGTCCCTCGGGAAAGTGTTCTGTTGAGGTGCCGGCCTGGCCTCACAGTGCAGAGTTGGTTTGTTGCGGGGATCCCTCGGAATTGTCGTGGCTTCTACTGTGGCCCGTTCTGCACGGAAGGTTGTGGTGCTCCGGTGAACCCTTCATGGGCGTAGCCGCAGCACCATGGGTCAAGTTCCCAATCATCCGGAAGTGCACCCTGGGCTGTTCAACACTGTTGGAGCCATGGGGCGGACGTGGTCGAATCAATCAACAATGTTTCTCTCCTGTCGCCTTGTCCCTCGGAAAAGTGTTCTGTTGAGGTGCCGGCCTGGCCTCACAGTGCAGAGTTGGTTTGTTGCGGGGATCCCTCGGAATTGTCGTTGCTTCTACCGAGGCCCGTTGTTCACGGAAGGTTGTGGTGCTCGGTGAACCCTTCATGGGCGTATCCGCAGCACCATGCATGGGTCAAGTTCCCAAGCATCCGGAAGTGCACCCTGGGCTGTTCAACACGGTTGGAGCCATGGGGCGGTCGTGGTCGAATCAATCAGCAATGTTTCTCCTGTCGCCTTGTCCCTCGGGAAAGTGTTTCTGTTGAGGTGCCGGCCTGGCCTCACAGTGCAGAGTTGGTTTGTTGCGGGGATCCCTCGGAATTGTCGTGCCTTCCTACTGTGGCACGTTCTTCACGGAAGGTTGTGGTGCTCGGTGAACCCTTCATGGGCATATATGCAGAGCACGAAGGGGCGTAAGTCCCATAATCTGGTAGTGTGTTTGTGGGTGGTTCCCATGGCGGAAGCGAGGGTCTTGATTGTGGCCTCTCAGTGCAGGTTTGGTTAAAGATAAGGGCATGTGACACTGTGTTGCTTGTTGGCTTGTGACTCTTAGAAGTGTGTTGGGGGGTGTGATCTGGCTCACACTTCAGAAGTTTGGGAATTCACGCAGTCCCTTATTCATGTGTTGCATCTGGAATCACTTGCCTCATCAAGATTGATATCTTGAATTTTTGGTTTTCCACTTTGCTCTTCGAGGGTTGTGGATCCGCAACTTGTGTGTGCGATTAGTCGAATTGGAGAAAAGTCCACGATACACACATAGTCCCTTATTCATGTGGTGCGTGGCCTAGCCTATGGCACACTCACCCAAGCCATGGCACATGTGTCCGTCAGGGCATCATGGATTGTGCCGCACGTCGGTTGAAAATCATTTGAGGTAAATGCCTCGACCTTACATGGACGTAACTCTGGGAAATGTTTATGAATAATATTCCTGGAACTCCTGCAATAGAACAGCTCAAGAAACATGGTCCACACCCATTTTCTAATTTTCGGGAATGACATAAAGCTCATCGGCTAGGAAAATCATGAAAAAGTATCGGCTCGGAGAAAAATCGTGAAACTTTGTGGACCACTTGCTCCCACTTTTTATAAGCACTTGTGCTAGAAATCAGGTCAAACTTCGACCCGTAGCCTCAAAAAAACCGAGTATGTCTCCCCAGAAAAAAGGATGTCCG